ACCGCCTACAAGAGCGCTTTGAGAAATACAATAAGGATTGGCTCGATAGTCATTTGGAACTTGCAGAGTACATCGCAGAAACACCTTCAACGTCAACTGGCCATGATGGACGCGGACGTCCACAAAAACAGTTTGATGAGTTTAATGATAGAAGTAAGCGAAGGAAAACCGATGAAATATTTGGCGGTAATGTTGGCACTATAGAAAGGGCTCTTTTACTCACAAGACAAATTGCGTATAGACATGGGGATTCAAATATGGTGAATTTGATTAGCCATGTTCTCAAAAATCGAGAAAGTGCATTTAAAATGTTTACGACTCTCAAAGATTCGCATGGAATGATGTCACCTGAAGAGGCGTTCGAATATTTTTTAGACTACGATTTTTCTAAATATGCATATGAGCAAACAGTGAAAAAGAACCCATCAAGATTTCCGAGCTACAATGTAATTAAGAGTATGAAAAAAATATGCTCACCTTCAGCCGAGTCAATCGAAGAGTCATCATCAAAAATTCAGGTATACTTTACAGAAGTTTGAAGCAGGATACGATTCGAACGAAGATGCTCTTCATTTAATTGAGGGATTTAAAGGCCATTGAACGGAAAAAACTCGTTACTCAAAAAATGTACGAAGCGTTCGGAGTACGAGTTGATCAACCCAGGGCAGGCGGAGCTGGGACCAGTACAACAGGAAATGTGTGTCGAAAAGCATTTTCAACTCCTGAATTACTTTCCAAAGTTTTGGATATCGACGAAGAGCTTATTATTAGATTTCGTAATATTTTAATAGTAATCAATTGCCAAGACCCGATCAATCCTAAAAAAATGGATGACTATTGTAAGGAAACATATCGGCGGTATCTTAATTTGTATGATTGGTATAAAATTCCAGCAACAGTGCATAAAGTACTCGCTCACGCTGGAAGCATAATAATCCATTCACCTGCTCCTCTTGGCATGTTAGCTGAGGAAGCAGCAGAGTGCCAACATAAACTACTAAAAAAATGTCGTACCCATCATGCTAGGAAAAAGTCACGAGTTGATAATCTACATGACGTCTTTATTCGAGCTATGAACTCATCTGATCCTTTGATAAGTTCAATAAATCTAGGTAATAGAATCCGAAAGCAGGTATCACTTGAATATCCAGATGTTGTGAAATCATTTTTAGTATTCGAAGATCTTGACAGCTCAGAAAATATAAACACTGAAGGCAATGCACTAGATGCATTAATGGATGATGTTGAACAACTGGATGATGATTTTGGTCTTGATGAAAATGTAGAAAATGAGTAGAATTGCTTGTGAATTTAATTTAGTTTTAAGAGAAAGTTATTAAATAAATTTTATTATGACAATTAGTCAAAGAAAATTATGTTTTATTTTGTAGTATATTCCCCTGCAGTATAAAAAATGTAGTTCAACTTAGTTAACGATGTTGATATGTGTCCAGTAAAAATAATGGAAACATAGTTAAAAAAATAATCCTTTCGACTAGCTTTAATGATTTATTTCTCGTCTTGAGTATCATAACGGCATAACTGCATTGATCGATTTGTCTTCATCGATTTTCTCTTTTGTTAATAACTTGACCAAATCGAAGCCGATCGACGTGATTTTTTTACTGACGGAAAAGGATCATAACCAGTGCTGCAAAATTTCGACACTAAAAACTGATAAAAACAAAACAACCCTGGTCACTCATTTCAGCAGAGAGTCACCATCAGTAGCAATCAATATCAATTGTCAGTGATATTACTATCAGTGACGACGATGTGCAGTATTTTCATTTGCTGAATTACTATCGAAATCAAATTAATTTAGCAAAACAGTTACATAGCACCTTCAAAGTGAATACGAATCATCATCATTATCAGCCTGGAGAACAATAATGTGACACAGAATGCGCAAATTCACAGTTTTTTCACCAAGGGAATCTTTGTCACTGACAAAGAAAAGAGTGAGATTTTGACAAAGGAAATTTTGATTTTCAGTTCTATCAGTGTTGCTGCTGAAATGAATTTTGTCTATATCCACTGAAGTTTTCTCAATGAAAATGACAAATCGCAGCACTGATCATAACATCTTGCCACAGTCCAAAAATTGCGTCGATCGGTTTCGGTTTGGCCAAGTTATTAACGAAAGAGAAAATCGATCAATGCAGATACGCCCTTATGATGCTAAAGGCGAGATTTGGACGGAAAAAATATTTTCAGTAGAGGGGAGGTTCGATAGACAAATAATTCTTCATCAAAATACCTGATTGGTAAAACAATACTCTTATATCACATATATAATAAAAATGGGGGAGGGGTCAGGTCTTGGCTAGGAGGGGCGGGGGGCTTTCCACCTCCACCTTTCCTATTTAATCTTATGCACAGCAACCTTATTCTAGTTTTGATTTGCATTTGAACTGTCCCTAAAATTAAAAACAAACTTTCAAGTTTATTGTTCAGGAATAAGTAGCTCATTACTGGGTTTAATACTAGTTACACCTTCCGGATGCGATGAAAATACATAAATATGACTAATTTTATGCTTAACTGACTATAATACCATCAAAAAGTGCGGAAAAACCAATAAAATATTTTTGGCCACCACTTTGTATGGAGCCGCCCCATAGTGCGGTGTAGCTACACCGCAAAAACGAAAACGACTAAAATTGCCAAATCAAAGTTAGCTCCCGTGCAACAGAACTATGAAAGTGATTGGCAAATCAAAGTTGGCACTCGTGGAGAATAGAAGAACTATGAGAGTGATGATGATTTCCAAATTTTACACGGTGAAGGTATACGAGTGCAATCTTAAAATGCTATTATTTTGCAAATTGAGCATTTTATTTAAATCTGGTTAATGTTACGTTAGTAGAAAACTAAAGGACTACTCAAAAGACATATACTATAGAAAAAATAATTTCTTTTCAGATTTTTATGTGTAGACATAGATTTCAGCTTTTCTACCACTGTAGCAGAAAGCAGATTTAAATAAAATGCTCCATTTGCAAAATAAAAGCATTTTAAGATTGCACTCGTATACCTCCCCGTGGAAAATATTGAAACCATCATCACTTTCATAGTTCTTCTATTCTCCACGAGTGCCAACTTTGATTTGCCAATGATGATTTCAAAATTTTCCACGGGGAGCTATACGAGTGCAATCTTAAAATGCTTTTATTTTGTAATTGGAGCATTTGTTTCAATCTGCTTGCTACTATGTTTACAACTAAAATTCGGAACAGATTTTTTTTTTTTCTATATCATGTGTTTATTGTGTAGCCCTTAAGTTTTCTACCAGCGGCGCCGGTGGTGTAGTAATAAGCGTGATTACCTCTCACCCCAGCAGACCTGGGTTCAATCCCAGTCGGCGCCGCCTGAGGCATAACATCTCTGATCACGCCTGCCATCGGAAGGGAAGTAAAGCCGTTGGTCCCTGGTTCATGAGCTAATGTGTCGATAGGTAGGGTCCAGGTGTGGGAGCTACCTCCCTGGCTTCGGTAGCATTGGTGCTCAGCACGGAAAACAAGAGCGACGGAAAACATATCAAGGAAAAAAAAAGAGAGCATCAGGTAAGAGTAGAGAACTTTAAAAAACGGAAACATCACACAAGGTCCCAGAAATCAGGCACGTACTTACTGAAAACGACGGGGGCGACCCCGGCGTAGTGGTTAGCATGCATAACTCACCAATGTCACGAGTTCAAATCTCACCCCCGGATGTCGCGAATGACCCAAGAGCGTTAAAGTGATAGAGTCTAAATCTGTGCTTTCTCCACTGCGCTCTCTCCATGCTTCGGAATATGGATAGGCAAAAAGCAAATAAGAAGCATAGTACGATAAGTCAATTCCGTATGCTTTTTCTGTTGAACGGGAATTGGAGGGAATCGTGGCAAGTGGGTGCGTCGTTTAACAAAGTCATGAATAAAATGCTTGCTTTATAGTCGAAAGCGTTGACAGAACAAGAAATAAAAAAGATTGAAAATTATTGCATCGTCTGCAAGGTCAACTTATATCGTTCGCTGCGGAGGATGATAGGAAATGCAACTAACATTCAATGTAATACATTTTTGATTTGCGTGCACTAGCAAAATGTTAAAAAATACCCAAAATTGTTGTTCTATGATTTTTGTCAATTTTCAAGTATACTAGGTTTTCGATACTTCAAAAGTTTGCATGCATGAAGCGGTGCCGGTGGTGTAGTGATAAGCGTGGTTACCTCTCATCCCAACAGGCCTGGGTTCAATCCCAGTCGGCGCCGCCGGGATGTTCTGAGGCATAACATCTCTGATCACGCCTTCCATCGGAAGGGAAGTAAAGTCGTTGGTCCCCGTTCATGAGTTGATGGGTCGATAGGTAGAGTCCAGGTGTGGGAGCTGCCTTCCTGGCGTCGGTAGCCTTGGTGCTAGCACGGAAAACAAGATCGACGGAAAACAAATCAAGGAAAAAAACGACAAACACATCAAGAAACGGTTCTGTTCTCAAGTTATTAACAAAAGAGAAAGTCGACGAAGAGAATTGATCAATGTTACTTAGGACCTAATGCAATGTTCAGCTTGAAATACTTTAATTTTCTCTAAAAATTTGTCTCACTCAAAACTAATACAATGTGTAGACAATTTCATATTCCGAAGTGTATATTCAACCTGGCTTATGATTCTAGTAAATATCTCCAGAAAAGTGTTCCTCTCCCCCACCCAAACACACACAACCGTCCTTACCGTCCTCGAGAGTTGCATAATGAACCAACATTGAACGTGAAGGTTAGACAATTTCTTCATCTCGTTTTTAAAACGATAAACGTCTGGCCTATATTTAGACATACTAGGTACTACGAACATAAATTTCCCGTACCAATTCTGTCAGCAGTTATTTTCCACATCGCCGGTGCATCGCAACAAACAACGGTGGCTGCATATAGAGGCACATATAAAAGCTCTCATCCGCTAAATTCCGAGTTCCATTCGACGGAAAGGATAGGATCCATAGCCTAGGTTGGCATTCAAAATGTCTCATTATTTCACTAAAGCCAACCGAAGCTCCCCATGGCTGCTCATAGCATTGGGAGCAGTTGTCGTCCTTTTCAATGGCAGCATCAACGCGGTGAAGGGGCAGCGGTTTTGCGGCGCAAAACTAACGGACGCACTTACTACATACTGTGAAATTTTCCCCACTCTAGCTCCGTCAATTAAACGATCCCAAGGTAGTTATTCGGTTTTTGGTCATGTTATTTTATATCGTTGATAATAGAGTGCTTTCATTTTTATCGGCAGGTCAAACCATTGAAGGTACCAACTATCGCGAAATCTTGTTTCCAAAGGTGCCGTTCGTCGGTGAACGGGGCATGGTGGGGATGATCAACAGCAAACCAAACTGGATGAGGGCAATTTTCGCGGCAAAGGGTGGCATCACTGCTGCCATGGGAGATGATTTTACCGATTTGATGGTTCCGGATCGTTTTCAGATGGAAAAACGTGGCGTTGTGAATGATTGCTGCTACCGGGTTTGTTCTCTCGAGTACCTGTTGTCAAACTACTGCAGCTTGTTCACTCGGACCAATGCAAATTAGATTAAGGCTTTCCACAGAGTACAGAAAGTACAAAACAAACTATGATCCAATGTTGCCAAAAGTAAAAATAATATACGACAACAAATGAATCAGTCTTAGGCAAACGATTCCTTGCAAAACTTGAAATGTATGCAATGTATGTTAAATAAAAAGAAGAAAAAAAATATTGCCATGTGAAAAATAGTTACAAAATGAGAAACACTGAAATGGGAATTGGAAATGATCCAACAATCCATTATTTGCTGGAAAACCAGCAATGCGTTATCTTGGTTGCTGAAAATCAGTAGGGGTCTAGAATTTACTAGCAAAACGTGCTACCTGTTAAAAATATAGTTTTGTTTTGCCCCATGTCCAACATTATTTGCAGTGTTTATTATTTGATGAATTTAAGCTAATTTCACGTTATCTTTGATATGCATTCTTCATTTGAAGAATGTTAAGGTGCAGGTTTTTTAGCTAATGTATATTTTTTTTTATAAATGTGAAGCAAATTTGCTACGTTATTTACAGAAAACGTTTGCATTTTGAATAATGAAAGCACGGACAAGCAGACATAACTCTTAGAAGAAAATTCTTCAAAAAATATCGTCAAGCGTATTTTACATGCACACTAGCACCCTCATCACCCTCATGCACATTCCGAAGCATTGTTTTGCAACCGGAGCATCCCTCGTACATGCAATGTTTTTCACAAGTTGCTTTTCCCTCGTTCTGTCAACGCGTCAGCTGTGTTGAATAAAAACAAGATGGAAGTCAGTAATGTCGGTTCTACGAAAATTTCCGTAGATCTATTAGATCTATTAGAATATTGCAGAAATACGGATCCGTAGGAAAAATTCACAGAAGCTCAGCCTTTTTTAGTGATTTGTTTTGATTGTTAAGTGTGATTTTTTTTTTTGCTGGAAACAAGTTTTTAAACGTGGTTATGCATCACTAATGAGTGCCCTTTCTACCACCGTTCATCACACTCATTAAAATGATTTGTTAACAAATTCTGAGTACATCGTACAGCCTAACCCAACAAACAATTGAGAGCTCTTATAAAACACCTGAGTTGATCAAACGTTGAATAATAGCTTCCAGAGTTGTACAAGAATGTAGTTGTATTGCCATTCGGTTAAAAGCTTCAAAAACTGCTTGGAGCACTCTTAAATGATTGTTTACGTTCAGTTAAACTGTTTGACAGGAGCCATATAGGATGTGGAATAAACGCATCAAAACAAACCATTGGGAGCTCTTATAAAACACCTGACTTGATCAAACGTTGAATAATAGCTTCCAGAGTTGAACAAGAATGTAGTTGTATTGCCATTTGATTAAAAGTTTTAAAAGCTGTTGGAGCACTCTTAAATGATTGTTTACGTTCGGTTTAACTATATGCTTTATAAGACCTACGATAACTTTTATAGCACCTTAGTTAAACTGATTCACAAGAGCTATACAGAACGTGGAATAAACGCATCAAAACAAACCATTTGGAGCTCTTATAAAACACCTGAGTTGATCAAACGTTGAATAATAGCTTCCAGAGTTGTACAAGAATGTAGTTGTACTGCCATTTGGTTAAAAGCTTCAAAAGCTGCTTGGAGCACTCTTAAATGATTGTTTACGTTCGACCAACCACCAACCACAATTTTGTTGCTAAAAATAGCACAAGTGATAGGCACGTTTATATGACCATAAGGCAATGATTATTCGACTGCAAGAGAAGTCACTCAAGATGAGCTTCATATACTTCTCTCATATGATCAAAATATGTATTCAAGAATAGAGCAGATGGAAACAGAAGCGGCTGGCAATCCGGGATCATGAGTTCGAATCTTGCTTCGAGAAACCCTCGGTGGAGTAGAGGTAAATTATATATAGGTGTGTAATTAATATAAATGCAAACATTAATTTAAGACATATATCATATAATCAACGATAACATTTCTAGATAAATTCTCTCAATTAATGATTAGAGAGATTAATTGAAAGAATATCAATCAAAGATTAAACAGATGCTTGTTACTACTTCCTCCATGATCACAGAATGTGAATTATGGCATAATTACATATTTTTTCAATGTGCACAAATAAATTAAATTAATAAAAACTGTACAAGCAATTATTTTGGCGTACCACGACAATTGTTAAACTAATTTTAATCTGTGAATATTGTGAGTACTTACACATTACTTACTAAGGAGTCATTGAAAAGTGCTATAAACGCTTTTCACCGCTTGCTGTATAGTGATTATTTAGGAGTCATAAAAGAGTGTAACAAACGCCTTTCAGGTCCAATCTCTAATACATTTCGAAGCAGCTGTTAGGAGGTGTCTACAAACGTTGTATAAGAGCTTTCACCAAAACAATAAAGCTTGAGTTTAAATATGTATCTATATACGTTGTATAAAAGTTGCTTCTACTCCTATGCCGCGTATACATATAATGCTGTAGTTGAACAGGTTCTCCAAACCAGTGTAAACAAGAGTTTTACAGAAGTTGTAATAAACAAATTGTACAGTTATTATTCAGCATGCAGTTGAATAAAATCACAATGGAAGCGTTTCTTCAACAAGAAATTGATTTTGGGTAAACGTTTTACTGAATACGTTAAACAACACCTTTGTGTTGTAGTTGTATAGGTTCTCCAAACCAGTGTAAACAAGGGTTTTATAAAAGTTGTGGTGAACACATTGTGCAAATTATTATTCAACATGCAGCTGAACAAAATCAAAACGAAAGCGTTTCTTCAACTGGAAATTGTTACTTGGGAATATTACACAACAAGCGGAATGACTAATCGACTGTTTGGGTGTAATATTCAACATTTTTTTTCTATATTCGTCAGATTAGTATGTGGTACATTAATGACCCGATCTTGTCAACCCCTCCGCGCATTAGACTTTTATCATAAAAAAATTCATAAAATCGTAATTCCATATTATAGTATCCAGGAAGGGACGAACACACTTTGCTGGCAGATAGTCAAATAAGAGACCAGCCCTTAGGCCTTGTATTCTTTTATACCTTTTTTGGGATGTTACAAGCGTTATAGATTTCGACATTGCATGGTTACAATTACAGATCTTTCATATACAATTATAGCAAACCTACACGGAAACATTTCATTCGTAGAAGTGAGGACATAACACACATCATTCTCATGCATCTTCAAGACGGGTGTTTAAGGTATACTTTAGTCCAATAAGACCACCGAAATGGCTTGCGCTTCTGTCACGATTTTTACTAGTCTGTGTGTTTTCCGTCTCAAAACTCTTTTTCGGTTGTGCTATACTTGAAAAATGAAGATTTTTAGCGGTGGTCTCATTAAATTGATCAAGTTTGCGAATAGTTCTGGTGTCGTGTTTTCCCTCCGGTGTTTTAGAAAACATCGATCACTGGTAGAAGTTCGAGAGAATCTGGCAGACCAGAAATGTAGAGTATCTGAATTTGATTATTGTCGTTTAAACAGCGTGAAAACGAGCAAAAAGTGCTATAATCAGGACCAGGCCTCTACATTTTCGAAGCTCTAAAATGAACTGGTTTTTTTTTTCTCATACATACGTGTTCGACGCTTCATTTCTATAACGCCTAGCTAGACTATCAGCAAGAAATGATAGTGAAAAAGAAGCACGCTTAGAAGGAAACGCTGGCTGTGGAACTTCTCGTCGTTGCTTTGCTCATCGCTTTCAATGTAACTAACGTCGATTTTTTAGTTAAACGAACCTCATTATGGCTTTCAATCCCCTTTCACGAATACTCTATCACCGATCTTTCAATTTGTTTAAAATGCGTTATGTCCCGTTTTTGATAATTTTTTTTAGATAAATATATGGATGGAAGATAAATTAAAAATATTACGTGTACTCTTCACGTGTTTTCACGAGAGAAATGCTTTAAACGTGTTATTTCATTTTCCGTCATATACGTCATGAAACCTCTGTTGATGTGTTTCATGAAAGAGAAAACTATCAAAGTCGAGCGCTCTTTCGCTCATCCGTTTCACCGAAGCTTGAAAGGAAGACCAATGGAGCGACGGGAGAAAGAGAGACAAGCGATTGAACATTTGTTTGTGCACGCCGACTGAGGTTCTAGAATGCTGCGAAGCTGTTCGACTTTAACAGAAAAAGAAAGCCAGCAGTCTCTTCGTCGCATCGATTTGGTCGATTGAAGCTGATATTGTGACGCCCTGATCAGGACATACTAAAGAAAAGTTCAAAACCGACCAAGGACGATCTATGGAAGGAAATTGCCGCGTGAAGCACGGAATCACAGAACAGAAGGGAAAGTGCAAACAAATCGGTGAATCAAAAAGTGGTTCGTTTCTATGCTCAGCAAGATAATTCCATTGCATTATTTTATGATTCTTCAATATTGTACAAATATTTACACATTACACACAACTACACATAGTAACTCGGAGCGTTTGGTACGGTATGTCCACGCATCCTTCCACCCCTGTAGATTCAAGAGATGTTTCCATTCATTTCCAAGAGTCATCTTTGCAGCAAATACAACGCAGTAGGCCTGGCCGTATTGATGTTTATATCATATCTCAGATATGTCAATTCAATATCAATTAGACAAGAAAAATTATTAGACCTCATCTAACCTAATCATTTTCCAGGATGCTTTCTCGTACTGGCTGCGTTTGCATTAGATTAAATTAGATTATATTAGATTACAAGACCGCTGAAAAAGCGCATGTGGTTCGTAGAACATTAGAAAAGATTTTCAAAAAAGGGTCATTACTGTACCATATGCGTGATAATGTTAGCACCATTGAGCAATGTCAAAATTTAAAAAAAATCTAAAAAAAATCGTTTTCGAGTTTTTTTATTTATTCAAAGGGGGGATGTTTCTCAGAGTCTTAAACTATACCACACGCTTCCGGAATGCACGGCAGGTGAGCAATCCAGTGGATTAAGATCGGTTCGAAGCCGTGGGTAGTGGACTCGAGTGCGACGAGCCACACAGTTGCCAATCGGAGTTTTTTCAGTGAATTGAAAAGTTGTGACATTAAATCTGTGACGCTTGCCGACGGAAAATTCGCGAAAGTGGAAGGTCAGGGG